AGAAGCCAACGGATGCTGCACTGAGCTCCCTTTCAAACAGCAAAACCTGCGTCAGCATGACAGAAAAGCAGAAAAAAAATTAATACAATATTCATCAGTTAGAGCAGAGCAAGAGTCCCACCATCTGCCCCTCCGCTGTTATTAATTTTGCACATTTAGAGACAAACCTGGGTCTAATGCTACCATCTCTCCTTTCAGTTCATGATGTTATTTGCCACCCTCCAGCTTTGATACCAACTGATCTAACTCACTGCTGTCCATGTGGAGCAGGGGGGAAAGGCATTACCAGGTTCTACATGGACAAACATTCCCTTTGGAGACCCCCCTCTGTCACCAGACTGGTACAAACATAACATGACTTGATCCTCCTAGTTAAAGGCATGATGTTAATTGGCACAAATTTGTCCCTTGGACTTTCTAGCACAGCAAATGTCAGTGCTCGTAATTCCTGCTCTGCAGTCCCTGCTCAGGCACCAAAACATCTGAACCCCCACCCCCGGCACATCTCTAATTGGCACCTACCTGTGGAGAGCTACGGGGGGGAGAACCTACCCCCAGCAACCACATAGAAAAACAAACCACTTGACATTGGTAGTCTGGGTCAGAGCTGAAACAAGAGAGAAGGTATTTTAATGCCAATGAAAGAGGGGTTTTTAATGCTGAATTCATTCTCCAAGAAAACAAACCTAATGAAAGCTTTCAGCCTCCTCACCTGCCACGGACGTGTATTGCCGAGGTTGCTCCTGGGTTATGACTGATTTTTGTTGGTCGGTTTGGGACTCTAATATCGCTCCTGGTTAAGGTGCAGAGATGATATTTCAGAGCCAGACAAGCTCAGCACAGCTCCTGCAACACACAGAATTTCCAGATCCAGATATTCAGGCCATGCAAACTGATACTTTTTCATCCCAGTGCAAAGGTAACTATTAGGACATCACCAATGTACCACACGCTTCTCAGAGCTGTCCCTTCTGCCCAGCCCTCCCAAGTCCCTTCACAGACTTTGCTCCCAAGCAATTATTGATGACGTTCAGTAGCACGTGGAATTTCATCCTGGTTTTCCTTCATCTTCTCCTCCCGAGCTGTCTCCAGTCATGGTGTGTGGGCACTGCCTGACACGCCGACAGCAGCAGCATTAACGCGTCACCTCGTTGACACCGAGGTGCCTGTCACAACTTTTCATCAAAAGCAGGGAACAGATGATTCTCACTGGGTCCCACACAGCCCCGTGGGGACCTTGCATGGCTGCAGCTCTGGCACCAGCCCTGGTGCACAGGTGACACCCAGCCAGGGGCATCCAAGGGATGAGGTGGCCTGAGCACCCACAAGTAACACAGCCACCCTACAGCACAGAGCTGGAGGAGCTGGGACTCTCCTGGGGGAAACAGCAGCAATATTGAGCTCTATTGGAGTTCAGCAGAAGCTGCATCTTGCATGCTTTTGTATGGTTTTACCTACTTTTTAGCAAACCATTGAACAAGCAAACCAAAACCTCATTGGAAAATATGTGAATAATACTTAGCTCATGGTGAGACAAAGACATACATGTTTCTCTGCATCACACAACAACCCCAGTTCCTGAGGAGTGGGAAATAAATTTATCTCCTTGAAACAGCCCCTTGGAACTACCCAGTGCAGCTCCAAAGGAAGCAGAGCTCAGGGAGAGAAGCACTGCAGTGAATCCTCCTTGATCGCTCTTCCCCGTGCCTTGTGCTGCTCAGCAAGTGACAGGTTGTAATGATGGGGAATTTGCAGCAGCCTGAAGCACCCAAGCAAGCACCAGTCACTCTCCAAAATGGCCCTTCAAGAGTTTCACTATGTGATACCAACAGAACAAAGAGCTGATTGCAAAATCTGGGATTTTTTGAAAAAAAAGTTATGCCAAAAATGTGAAGTAACTCTTCATCTGCAGGAAAAAGAGCCAAACTCACTCTGGAATAACAAGGATGAGCTGAAAACACCCCAAGTATTTTAACCCATTTGGTGTTTAGACATTCCAAACACTTTCCTAAAGGAAGGATGCATTAAAGTTGCACGGGGGCAAGGCAAAGGAGGTGATAAGTCTTTGAACACCCCTGACTCAGGAGGTGCTTCTCTATGTTGGCAGCGTTTCATCCTCCTGCCAGGCTGGGAACATCTGCTCCTGGTCACCTTCGGACACAGGGCAGGGACAGACCGTGCTGTTCATCACGCTCAGTTCACCACCTGGGATAACAGATTCACATCCCACTGCCATTTACGTAGGAATTTCAGGGGACACACAGAAGGAGCCACTCATTCACAGGGAAAAGCATTCATTTGCACAGCCCAAATCCCCACGACGCTGCAGATTGCAGCAACCCAGACTCTGCATTTACACTTCGGCCTGTGTGCCTTATTTTTTCCCCCTCTGTAAAGTCCCCCCCAGGTCCCTCCATGCTCAAATTCCCAAGATAATCAAAAGCAGCATTAGGCACAGGGATGGGCAATACAAACAATTCCAAGGCACTGCAGAATTTCTCTTCTCAGGGTTGACATTCCCAGCCAAGGTGAGAGGAAAAGCCGGCATGAAAGAGGTGTGAAATCAAAGCAGTAATCAAATTTAGGTATAATGAGAGAAGCTGGAGAGGTTTACAGTGTTCAGAACAAGATTAGCAGCTCAAGGCGCAGGAGGAACGCGGCCTTTTCCACCCTGTAACAACTCTGTGATGCAAATTGCATTTCAAATCCCTCTGCCCAGCTCTGGGACCCATTCAGCTGCCATCGTGGTGCTGAATTTTTAAAGCAAAGTGGAGGCTGGTTGGAGAGATGGTTTGTAAATAAAAATCACAAGAGGACAGCTTGGAAGCACCAGCCAGAGCAAAGACCAGCAGAACCTGGCCCTGGGGTGCAGCACAGCCACCCAACACATGCCTGAAACTGCAAGAAATTAATGCATTTGCCACTTGTTTTTCTCCCACAGGAGATATAGAAGGTGCTTTATGGAATCCCTGCCTCCTCCAGGCTGTTTCAGCACACAGGAGAGCACAAGGATGAAGGTTACACCACCTACTGCAGCTGCTTCCAATTCCTGCCTCAAATCTCTCCAAAACCTGTCACTACTGAGCCTTCCCAGAGCCCCAGATTCGCTTGGTCCTTGCAAGGTTTTAATGCTGAGGAGCATGAAGGAAGATGAGGGAGCTTGCAGAGACCAGAGACGCAATTGCTGCCTCAGGTGCATTTCACTGCCCAAGTTAGTCCCTCTAAAACCATTAAAATCAACCCCTTTGACAGCATTAAGCCAACATGAGAACATCTAAGCCTGTAAATGGTTGGAAAAGTCATTTCTTAATATTTCTCTCCCAGTCTCCCATTTCGTGCTGCTGCTGCAGGGGCTTATCCCGTCACCCAGCAGCTGCAGCAAGTCCTGGCAATCAGCTTCAGATGGATTTCTAGCACTGAGCAAATACGAAGCAATTTTACTCAGTCCCCAGCGAAAGAGATTTCAGCTAAATCAGATAACTTCTGTGTTCTGAGGCTGGCCAGGCACTAACTGCTTCCAGATTTCCAAGTCTGGATGTCAAACTTCTGTAATTTCATTATGAAGTGGAGCTGATGGTGTCACCCAAGTGCTGGCTTTGGGGCAGAAGGTGACCATGCCCCAAGGCACAGCTCCTGCAGCAAGGGGGGACTGCAGCAGGATCAGCCCCAGGCCTGCCAGCTTCCTTCATCTCCTGCAAATAGTTCCCCAGCAAACTGCAAACTCTTCCTTTTCTCTCCGCAAAAGGAGCAATTCAAACCTCCAGTTGCCCTCAGATTCATCCCTGCCTCCAAAGAGGATGGAGACACAGCAGGAAGAGGAGGGATTAATAAGTCCTGATTGGGATGGGAACAATAAGGATCCGGCTGTGTTCACTGTTCATCACATTTACAGCCCAGGGGGCTGGGATGGCCCAGCAGAAGGACAGATGCTGTCAGGACACCTCATCAGGCTGCTGGGGTCCTGGGCAGCCAAACAGGCACTATGACAATTAAACCAGGCCAGGCATTGCTTCCCCAGTCTTTGTCTCCTTCCTCTGCCACCCAATTAGCTCTTTTCTAGAAGATTTGGGTGCATGGAAAGCTCCCTTCCAGAAAGTCAATTTGCATATAAGGCAGGTTTGTTTGATCCTCAGAACTTGCTGGTATTTCCTTCATCTCACCAACAACCAGGAGATAACACACACAACAGGGGATTGAAAACTGAAAAAGACTCAAAGACAAGTTTGGGTAGGAAGGGACCTTAAAGTTCATCTTGTTCCAACCCCCTGCCATGGGCAGGGACACCTTTCACCAGACCAGCTTGCTCCAAACCCCGTCCAACCTGGCCTTGAACACTTCCAGGGATGGAAGCAACAAAAGCAGTGGAAAGCCATTTACTTACATTCCATCTACTCCAACAGCTGACACAGTAGCAGAGATGAGGTGCAGGCAATCTTCCCATAAATATTATTCCCACCTGGATCCCCTTCTTTAACACATCTGCTCCTTCCTCTGCCCTCCATCCACATCTGTTGGGCTAGAAAAAATATTTGTAGAAGGGAAGAAACGACAACAAACAGCTCAGCAATTGGTCCTATAGTATAACGAGCAATATGAGTTACTTTGCTTCTCTCACACATCACTGCTGCAGGCTGATGATATCATTTATAATACCTGAATGATAAATGCCCACTGAGAAGGGAAAAGCATCCCTTCATTCCTAAGCCCTGCAAGTCTTTTACTCAGAAGAAATTGGAGGACAAAGGTTTACAGCCTCAGCAGGATAATGGGCAATGCCTCATCCTCCATCCCTCTGGGCCAGGGAAGGATTGCTGGGCATATTGTTTAAATAAATAACAATAAGGCCATGAAGCAGGAATGAAAACTCTCTAGAAAAGTTTTAACTGAGCAATCCCAAACATTAAAGGTTTTAAAACTTACTCCAAAATATCGGTCGGTTAAATTTCTTTAATTTTATATACAAGGTTATTCTGTCTCAAAATAATTGGGATCTATATAATTGCATTTCCAAGCACTAAATTCAGACCAGCCACTAAGACCACAAGAGGCAGGAGAAGAAAAAACAAAACAAAACAACAGAGATTTTTAAGAAGACAGAAATTGAAGGCTGAGTTTTTCCCATTATAGATAGTTTCATAAATTATCACCTGCCAGCTCCTTGCCTTCTCTTGTGAGGCCATCGCTGAATACTGGGGCTAGAAGTAGAAAAAGGCTCAGAAATCTGAATTAAAGGACAGCATAATGACAAGAGCTGCCTCATAAAAGCAAGATATGATGGACAGCAGGAACAGTTGAAGCCAACAGAGACGAGTCCAGGAACTATTCATGCTTCAAAGATTTCTGACAAAACCCCCAATAATCCAAAAGCGGCGTTTTGTCTGGCAGAGCTGATTGTAACCATGTGCATGTAATTCAGTCACTGACAGCAAATGAAGATTTGCTTGGAGCTCCTTTGGTCCACTACTGCTTTCTTCTTTCCATCCAGAAAATGTAATTACATCTACTCTTTGGGAAAAAATTACTTCTTTGAGTGGTTCGTGGCAAAGAGTTTGTTCCCGTACCCACTTGTAATCAGTCACCAAGAGAAATATTTTCTCAGAAGATCTCTTCAAAATTTTGGAGTTATTTTAACATAAATAACTTGGTTATTTTGTTCCAAATGATAAGGGAATTCAATTTGGCTCTGCTAGCTTTAAAGGAAGCATTTCTTCCTAGTCTTTCAGAGAGAGGAACAAAATGCTTTGTTGCAGGAAAATGAAGGGAGGGAGAAGTTTCTTTCCCCCTGAGCTGCACAGTACCAAGAGGCAGCAAAAAACATCCAATTTCCAATTCTTGTAGTTTAAGGGAAAACTCTGAGGATCTGAGCTGTGGGAAAGACAGAGTGGGAGAAGCAGGGGATCTGATGGGGTTTTTTTTTGGGGTGGGGGCAGATTAGAGAAACACCACAGTGTTCAAGCAAAATCAGTGAGAATTCCAGACTCCATCCCTCAGAGAACAAATGCATCGATTTGACCCAAATGCCTTCCAAATTCAAGTGAGTCAGAGGCTGAGGCGTTTTCCCAAGCTCTGCTGAGCCATCAGGTACAAACTAAATCACCCTCTGGGACCAGGGCAGCAGGTGCCTGGCACGGGGCAGGGATGCCCCCCTGGGAAGCTGCCGGCATCACCCATGGGATTTGCAAGATTTGTTCTACAGCCTCCAGCATCCAAAAAGCTCCACCTTAAAAGTCTTCAGTTTGGGATTTCACTTCTCCATCTGTGTGTTGTCACTTGGCAGCTGCTTCACGTCAACACCCTTCTGACGGGCACAAAGTTTCTCCTGATTTCCAGCCTAAACAGAAAGCTATTTCCATTCATTCCTCTGCAAATACTGGGAGTCTGTACCTAATTTGCTCTTCTTCTCTCTGGTGTGCATTTGTACACCTAAAGGTACCAAAGCCATGAGCATTTCATTTTTAAATTATGCCATTTGTGCAAATTATCTTCTTCCCAGATCGTTGCATGGATTTGGTGCTGATTCAGCACTCAGAGCCTTGGCACCACGAAGTCCATAGTTTTCCTGATGACCTCCCACGGCTTTGTATCAAGCCTGTAAAGAAAATACAGCAAAGAAATTCCAAACAGAGCCCCTAGAAAAGATAATAAAATGCCACATGCCTGTGTTGCTGCAGGGAAGGATCAGCTTCCCTGTTTAGTGCTGCTTATTAAATCATTACAAACAATTAAAGCAGCAGAGGAGAGGAAGGCAGCGTTATCATTTCCAGCTCTCCAGCCTGCCTCTGCCCCCTGGCAAGAATTTCATAAACCACAGATCTCTCAGCAGAAGTCCCTCAGCAATAGATTTCCTACTCATGGAATACAGCAGGCAGACACCCTGGCTTTTTCCGGCCAGAAAGGGAGAATTTGCCTCGATGTTTTTCTGTCGTACAGCTGTGAAGTCAAATCCCCCTCCCAGACCTACCGGGAGAGTCCTGCAGGGGACTCCCATGTTTCTGTGGGATGACAACTCTCTGGAGATACACAGGGAGACTCGTGTGAGCAGAAGGGACCCCCACAAGAGCAGATCCCTGTTCAGGCTCCATCTTTGCTCACAAACAGGATCCAGAAGAAAATCTGCTGTGATTGCGTTTCCCCGGAACAGGTAATTTCCAGCACATTTTTCTCTTGAGCTGTTCTGCCTCCCACAAAATCAGAGTGCTTGGGATCACTTTGCAGCCCAGCAAATAGCTCCATCGCAGATAGGAGCACCAGGGAACAGAGCAACACCTAACAGCCGAGACAATCCAAAATCAATTATCAGACCATCCCCACATCTCCTGGGCTCACTTGAATGCTCAAGAGAGTTAGAAAAGCCAACTGTTTTCTAAGAACCGGCTGCGCAGTGGAAAGGTGAATGACAGGCACAACCGGCCCCAACACAATCGCTTCTCAACAGGGGAAGGAGCAGGAGAAATCCAGCAGAAAGGGATGGGAGAGGCTCTGTTACCGACAAAGATGCAGCTCAATTGATGTTCACTCACTATTTGGGTTGATCTTACTTTAACAATGCGTTTCACACACCACAATTGTGTTTTCCCTCCCTGCAGTCACATGAAAAAGACCCACTGATGTCTCACCTTTTTCTCACCTTTCTCTGCCTGAAATCACTTTTCCCTTACCTAACAGGCAAAACAGAGCTTGTTTTCATGCTGGAAATAAGTCCATAAACTCTTTGTCCAGTTCGACATTACAAACCCCCTGTTACTGAGGTGCCCCAGGGCAGCAAGGAAGGGAAAAACTGAGAACTGAGGTGAGAATACCAGCCATGGGTACATGATGGGCAGCATCATATTCTGCCTCTCTCACGGATGTTTTGTTTTCCAGCCCAGAAAATTCCCTGTCCTTTCCAGGGCTGCAGAAGGATGCTGTCTGCCTCACACAATGAGGAGTAAGCCAAGCAGGAGTGCTACAGAGCTGCACTGGGAGAACAGGGGAGATGCTAATACACCCAGAAACTCTTATTGCAGAGTAAGGAGTTCATCACATCCTCCCTGTAAATTAGGGTGTTTTGGAGATGGAGAATTGATTGCCAAGTAACCTGCAGGGACACACAACTACTCTGCAGTTTTCTAGGACTCACTGAGTGACACAAAAAGGTTATTGATGCAATTGGGGAGTGTTTCTGTACAGCATGTGCTCCTGTACCTCCCTGACATCCCAGCCGAGGAATCAATTTACTGAACATTTACAAGAAAGCAATTGTTACTACAAAAAAACCCTAACCAAACAAAAAAAACAAACAAACAAACAAACAAGAAAAAAATCAACCCCCCCCAAACAAAACCAAAAAAACCCACCAAACCAACTTCCTGGCAAGGAGCCTCAGAAAGAGTTTGTAGAATTTGGTGAAAACAGGCCATTTACAAGGAATTTTTCCTCTATTTTCAAATGGAATTGAGAAGCAGGTGGAGATGGAGAGGGCTCAGAGTGTGCTCTGTGCCCAACACAAAACATCTTCTGTTTGGTCAGGGTTTGTCTGAAATCACTCACCTGGTAGGAGGCCCTGCATGGCCCCAGGAGTTGGAATTGCTTTGGAAATTATTCCCTGTGGAAAACACAGAGATATATCTTTATTTCTTTTAATTTCCTGCTCCTCCTCCACAAGCATCCAAAACTTCTCTATAGTGTGGCTGTCTGTTAATAAATTTGTATCAACAGGATTTCTGATGGGGACCTTATTCACCCAGCAAGGTGTGAAAGCCCCACTCAGTGACCTGGCAGCTTCAATCCCCAGGGAATTAAGTTTTGGGGTTTTGCTTTGGGGCCCAAAGTAGATTTTAAAGGGAGAAGAGCCAGGTTTTACTGTCTGTTGCTGCTCTTTTGGCTATTTCAGGTGCACACACCGAATCTAGTCCCTCCCTCACCTGCTCAGAGCAAACATCCCCACTGTGTCCATGACCATGGGGTGCAGATGAGCAGAGAGAACCAGACATAAACCTCACCTTGCAATAATCCCCTCCCTTTTCCTTTCATCTTCTGCTTTATAAATTATTTTTATGAGTTCTATAGCACACCATTTCCTGCTCAGTTCACCACATTTATCCAACTTACATTTTCTCCATCACGCTGACACATCCAACAAGGCTCATGCTCCTAAAGCTGAATTTTCATTAGCACATATTCGGCCACAAGAATTACAGTGACCTATTTAAGTAGGTCAGGCTGGTATTAATGGCAAAAGTGAGCTGATTGCAGTCCAAAGCCACAGAGTCGAGTCTTGCTAAGCTCAAACCAGGCCTCCTGCTTCTCTTTTTGCCCTATAACAATTACTGGTGTCGTAACCCTTGTACTCCACAATGTTTGTTGGCCTGAAGAGTGTTGGAGAAAGGTGCCAGCTCTGTATAATCGAACTCGAAAATGTGCCAGAAGACAGATTTCATGTATTTTGTTGGGGTTTTTTCCTACAGTGAACACTGCAGAAAATATTAGAACATTTTTCTCAAACATGATACTAAGGTGAAGATGAGTCATTTCACTGTCATAACACGGGAGGGAGGGAAAACCAGAGTGAAAAAAGCAGCAAATTCATTCAGCATCAATTTGCACTTCATAACCCTCCATAGATTAGGCTTTTAGGCCAGAGGAGGTTTGCTACTTAAGCAGAGAGGCAAAACATTGAGCTGTTGCTTAGATATTGGAATATATTGCACAGAGCCTGCTCCCTGGCAAGCGTCCGTGAAGGGCTCCAGGCTGTTTTTCCAAGGATGCATTATAGCCCTGTTGCAATGCTGTTGTTTGCAAAGACTCAAAGATTTTCAAAGCAGGTCAAGGGATGACAGAAAGGGTGACTTTTCTGAAGTAACAGTTCGGATGGCTTTAAAGAACTCCTATCACCTGGAAGTGGCAGATACTGAGGGCTCTTAGAAGCTGTGTAACAACCAGATTAATAGCAGCTAAATAATGTATATTCCTGCATGGAATGCCGATGGATTGCAGCACTATTTGCCCTACACAGCCCTCATCTGCCAACAGCACAGCACAAGAAAGGTCAGGGAGGAACAGATCTCTACCTGCTGACTCACATCCGTTCCCAATCCACCCAATTTGGGCAACAAACATCCTTTTATTTCTATTTTACTCCCATCCTTTTAAACTAGGATTCCTCCTCATTTCTTGCTTCTTACCTCTGAAATCCAACAACTGTGCTGAAGAATCCCCTTGCAGACACATCCGATAAAGGCAGCCAGCAGGGAAACAGATCCTTTAGTCAGATCCAGTGGTCATGGATAGGTTCGGGAGTTCACAGCATTCCAAGAGAGCTAGGAAAGGAAGCAATTAGCTGTACCCTGGAGTTCTACAGCACAAGGTCCCATCACATACAATGCTTTTTCCTCACAGGCACAGGTCCCACAGTCAGATTACACAAAAGCTGTGACTCACATGGGCTGATGGAAGAAGCCTGAGATAGGGAACAACAAAAGCTTCAAGCCCAGAAGACAAGGTGATCCATAGATTGATCCAGCAGATTAACTTCCCCTTCTTCCAGATAGTTAAGGAGGATGTGGCAGCAGCATCTCTGGTGCAGTCAGGGCCATCACAGGACACGTGGGATGGTTTTTCCCACTGTTCATGGCAGCACCGACACAAGGGGAGCCCCAGGCCACTGCCCCGAGCCCCACAGACCCTGCAAAGGAGATGGAGCAGCACAGAAAAAGGGGACAGACCCCTTCCAGAAACCTTCCTCTCCCAAAGAGCTCTGCTTTGGACAGACCGGACTGGCACAAGGCAGCAAACCAACCGAAGCACAGACTCGCTTCCAGGCCTGGGAAAAAGCAAGAAAAAATGCTGGAGAATAAAAGCATCCTGTAAAGGAAGCAGATTTTAATTTCTGTAACAAGGCTGTTTGAAGCCAGACCAACGGGGGGTGGGGGAGGAAATGAGGGTGTTTAAATAAATGTTCTGCCTGCACTCTAAATTCTCACAGATTCATATTAATTGCAGCAAGACTGGTACTGCGTCCTTGCTCACACAGTCACGGGTACACTGCCAGAGCTTTATTAATTAACACACCTCTGAGTGCGTGGCCTCCTGCTTGGAGCCAGGCAGACTCCTGCAATGCCACTCACCCTCTATGGCTGGGTGACACTTTTGGGTGGCCCCAGGCAGCACCACAGGGCTGGGAGACGTTTGGTAGAAGAGCCAGATTCTCCAAAAGCTGCTGCAGATGAGAACTGACCCACTGCTGGAGCCTCACAGCCTCCTTCCTGGCTTGCAGGGAGCAATCATCTTCAGCCACCCATCACCTCCTGGTGCTGCAGTTTTTATTCCCCATCACATCTGGTCTGAGGAAATTGTTAACATGGCATTTGTCTCGATTGCTCTCCTGCAGAGACAGACAGGGCAGTTATTGATATGTACTTTCCCTGACAAAAACAGGCCATTTATAAGACTCATTACTACAATTTTCCTTAAATCACCTCCAGTACCACTTTGCCTTCACTGCAGCTTGTGATGGGTTGGATGTGTCACCAACCCCTGGATCCATAGCAATTATTACCATTCAAAGGCACTTTCTGCACCACAATTTACCAGTTCACTGATGGAGACATCTGCCCTACACTCACCCCCCAGAAAAATCAGCACTTATACCCCTTGCTGGATCCCAGGGGTGTCCCACAAGGGGAGCACCATCACCTGCCTAAGCCAGCCTGGCTCAATATAGCTGGGAAGGGTTAGGAAGCAGCAGGACACAAGTCAGCTTGTGGCAAAGGGAGAAGCGCCCAGCAAAGGGGCGATGGATAAGCTCAGGTTTCTCCTTTCCAGTTCACCCCAGCATTCACCAACTGCTCCTTTGCCGAGCGAGCAGCACACCAAGGAGGAGCAGGTGCTTCCTGGGGGTGCAGTGACCAACTTCTGCATGCTTCCAAGCTTGCATCAGAGCAGCTCAAGGAGAGCCAGTCCTGAGGAAGAGGCTAGAGCACAGTGAATATTATCCTGTAACAAGTAACCTGACCAGGCACACTGGCTTTCCTCAACAGAAGCCATTGCAGACTGTTTGACGTAGTCAATTCTGGATATTTTTGCAGGTTCTATTGTGACAGGACAAGGGGGGAGTGGCTTTAAACAGAAGGAGGGTGTGTTTGGGTTAGATGTAAGAAAGAAGTTTTTACAATGAGGGTGATAAGGCAGTAGCAGAGGTTACCAATAGAGGTGGTAGATGCCCCATCCCTGGGAACACTCAAGGTCAGGCTGGATGGGGTTCCAGGCAATCTCTTCTAGCTGACTGTGTCCCTGCACATTGCAGGGCAGTTGGACTAGATGACCTTTAAAGGTCCTTTTCAACCCAAACTATTCCTTCATTCTATTATTAACCTGCAGTGCTTTTGAAAAGCCTGAACACCTCATACAAATAAATCACCTTAATAACCAATGACTGCAAGACAGTCAGACGAGAACATTTTGTTTTGGTAAACAGGGTATTGATTGTGTATCTGTGTCCTTGAGATGAACTTGACTCTTCAACAGCAGCAGGAGCCCAACAAAACAGGTTCTCCATGACTCCAAAATGGTGGATTGCCTTTGCCTGGAGTGAGCAGCACGACAGGTTTATGAAGGCAATAAAGCACCACTGATTTAGCATTGGCGGGGATTTCCCCCTCCCTAAAACACCACCTTTTCTTTGCACAGTTAACTCGAGCTACACAGTGTGAACGTGGCTTTCAAGAGGCAAAGTCCATCTCCATGGCATGGATTTGGCAGGAATAGAAACTTTGTCCCTGTTGCATGAGCTGGCAATGGAGCTGCTGGCATGAGAGTAGGTCCCAGCAGCTCAGTGGGAAAACAGTTCTCATGTCCTTCATAACAGCATCTTCAAACCAGTGCTTGATTTTCAAGGTTTCATAGCACCATAATATTTATAATCAAGTGGAAGGGATACCCAGTCAGAGAAAACACAATGAATAAAACATCCTTTCAGCCTTCCCTCCAAGCACTCCCCATCACACTAATACACATGACGTGCCTCCGTTGTGCACAGCCACTGGCTCTGGTCGGACCCAGACCCACACAGGGGAAAGATTTTTCTCTGTTGGTGGAAGGGCTCCTGCTCAAAGCAATTTCCTACGTGAATTCAGATCTGTTGTCAATCGTCCTCCCCAAAGCAAGTGAGTTTTACTGAAGAACTATGCAAAAATCACAGCTCAGAAAGCAGGTGCCAGGAATTTGTTTGGGGGGATATAAGAAGCAAAAGCCCCTCTACCCACACCAGGCAATGAGATTTAATTAGTCTCCATCACATCCCTGACAGGTTGCTTTAATCACACACATCCTAACCAAGGCACGGAGAGCATGTTCACTACGGATAATGAGGAGTAAGGCACAAGGCAGAGGGTAAAGCACAAGGGAATGTCACCAGCACTGCAGTCCCTGCATCCTTCCCCAGCCCATGACAACAGTCCCTAAAACAGACAGCACCTGGTCACACCACCACTGGACAGGGCAGGGTGTTGCCAATTCCAAGATAATATAGTTTGGTGAGTGAAAGGACGGCTTTTAAGCTGTTCCAGAGATGTGCTTTGTGCTGAAAACCAGAAAGCCTCAACGGAAGGATTGTGGACGCAAAATACTTTCAAACCCTTTTGTCCTGGGGAATAGTTACAGACCAGCAAATGTAACATCACATTCTCCTGAATTTCTCTGCCTGCCTGTACTTTCTTCTCCGAAAAAGACAACAGCAATTCCTGGAAACTGCCTTCTCCCTGCAGACCTATCAATACCTTGCTTCATTTACAACTACTTACAGCCTTACCAAAATAGGCAAGAAGACGGTTCCAGGGGTGTTTCATGTGAAGAAATATCATCCATAGCATTCCTATGCATCTTTTGGGCAACATAATTTCTATTTCATTTTCCTTAAGCCTAATGTCTGGTCAGATTTTGACCAAGATAAAGAAAATATCTGGAAGAGTGGTACACTGGGCATAAAAAAAATTCCATCTGCTGAAAAAGTCAGTTATACCCATGGTTTTAAGAAATTACCTCCAAGTGCAACAAAGTGTTTTACTCCCCCCCCAGTTACTGATGCACAATAATCTTGTCAGAAGAGTGTAAATATCTACAGGAGAGGAGCAAAATCAAACACAGCTCTTGGCTACACAGTTCACATCAAAAAGCTGACCCGTTTGGTTACATGCACACAGCCAGGCATGGCACCAACGGATGGCTGCATTTTCCCTTGTCTGGTCTTGGAACGAAGGCCAGGCAACATTTAAAGGGCTAAAGGAGAATCAAGAGACCCTTGATTTCCTTTTTCTTCTTGTTCTAGGGACATGAAGGTAAAGTGATCTTACACTGCTGCTGGTTTTGCTCCATAGCCTGAGGTGCGTTTCTGTCAAGCTTCACGGGACTCCTGCACCTCCCGATGCACATCTGAAGGATTTCGCTGCATTTCCAAAGCTGCACCAGAGACCCAGCTGGGGAAAAAAATCAGCCAAACTCCCCCAGAGCAGCTGAAACCAGCACAGATCTGGCAAGGTCTGTTTATTTGTTCATTTTGCGAGCTGTAACGTTGCTTACTCTCCTCCCACTCCCTCTGGGGCATCTTCCTTTGTTAAAATCAGCCACTGTTCCCTATTGAAGCAGTTTAACCCCCCGCTTCCCACCGTTCCACATATCCCTCATTCAGTCAGCCCTGGGTGCTGTCCATGTCCCTCCAGATCTCCCTTATTCCTGAAGGGAACAGCCCGGAGCATCAGCTGCTCACCAGCACCTGTCTTATTTACTATTTAAATAACCCTGCAGAAAGAAAACCTTTTTTTTTGCCCCCCTTCCCTGGTTTGAGCAAGTGCTAATTGCTCAGACATGCAACGCGCACACACAGAGGCATCATGGTGATATGATTGCAAAGCCCGGTAACGTCAGCATCCCAGAGACCCTCCTCCGACTCGGATTAGAGAGAAGAGGCTCACCAGCACAAGCAGCAGGTACTGGAGGAGGCAGCGGAGCCACTCACCAGGTAAGAGACACTTCAGCCCTCCTTCCCCAGCGCTGGCGGTCCCGTCCTGCACTTGATTGCTGTGCAACAACAAGAGAGGGGAAGCACTTCTCTTTGCAGAGCCTGGGGACCAGTTGCCAAACCTTTGATCTTCACGGGGGTAGGGGGGGTCGGTGCTTGTTCATTCCTAGTGGAGGAATTCTTGGAAGAAGGGGTCAGGCGTTAGTGATGGATGTGGCAACTGCTACTGATGTGGAGATTCTCGCTGTGACTCAAAAGTGGATTCGCTTTCAGAGTACTTTTGTCCCTCTTCCCTGATTAATC